TGTGCATTTATATCATCTTCGGAATCTTTGTCTCCCAAAATCAGTTATTTTCTAATTTGCTTTACGTTTGTGTACGGGATTACAATGTCAAGTTTTATGGCAGGAGAACGGTAATAAAGTTTTTGTTTTGAGAATATACATTTGCCTGACTATTTTTTGACAGATTGTTAGTTGGTTGGAACCGTTGGTGCTGCCGAGACAGAGGAGGAGTTAATACGTATATGGTAGTACCCCGAACAGAGACCATCCATGGTAGACGGCCCAAAAATTGGGAGGATCACCTCTGTTAGGCCAAGCACTTACTACCGATCACACGAACAAGACATCACGAACGGTGCACTAAAATGTCTTTTCGCATGGTAACAAAACACTTGAAGATTAATTGCTCAGCTTAGCCAAAAGACTAACAGTGACACGATTCGCCAATAACCCCCATGATTGTATAGTGGCGTTCCATCATACTGAATATGGATTAATATCAACTCACAAAACCTCCGGTTTGACTTTTTGTTAATATAAACATTACCAGTCTGCACATCCCAGTAGAAAATCTATTGCACTCACTTTAAAGGGTTAACATACATCAGGATTAATTTGTTGTTGGAACACCACTACAGCACTCAAGGTTTATCAAGCTGAAATTGGTAGCCGCAATTAGAACATGTATTTACCACACGCAACCATTTCTCCACTTATTTGTTTACTTTACCACAGAAGAAATATAAAACTTGCATCCCGATCTTTGATGAGAGGGCAACTTAATCTGGATTAATACTAGTTGATCCAATGCGACATCTTACTTGCGTGAAGTAGAATTTTTCAGAGGTACAGTCTCCCAAAAGCGGACATACTTATATTAAAAGCAGCTTTGTTTACACTGAATGCCTGAGAAAAATCCGTGTGAATGACTTATTCTTACAGGTGTACCTGCAATAGCTTAAGTGTGGATCCATTACTTATGATGGATGAACTGGTTTAACAATTATTTAATTTCTATAAAGTGACTCCAAACCAAATACTGCACCGAACTTTCACGGAAAAAATTAAAGCAAATCTGGAGTAGGTCTTTTGGCACTTATATCTGTACAGCATTTGGTAGCAGCAAAACTGTTGCGCCATAAGAACTTGTAGCTAAATGCCGTGTGATCAGTGTACCTTGAGTGTAGAAAGCTATTTATCATCAATACGACTCATTGGCAGTCTGTATCATACAAACTTTGGTCCTGAAATCAATAGTGGCCAAATTTCAGTGCTCGCACATTGAATTATCTATCGTGAATTGCGATTATCTAATGCTCAGCTTTATTCTCAATTCCCCCACTAAATAGTCAAATAACAGTGCTGTATTTAAGCACCAATTTATCAGCTCCCCCCTCCAATGAATGGCTACCTACACCATCTCCTCAAATCATCTGTGAACGAAACTGGCAGCTAGAACCACTGTACAACATCTCCACAGTTGTACACTGTCTGTTGCCTCTAATGGCTTCCCAGTAGTTCACTCAACGATAACCGAGACGCTTGGTGACCCCACTTTCATTATACTGTATGTTTTTTCCGCTTCTCAGCCATTTTTGTATTCTGTCTCACCTTTGGACCTATTGATCTGTACCAAACCCTTAGAATTTCGTTCAACTTTTCTAAAATACAGTAGCAAGTGTTTGGCTAGTATTCAAAAATATAGGTTTGTGAGATGCGAAAAAGGTTCGTGCGTCTGAATGCGCAATCATTGTAACCAGTAGGTAGCATTTGGCCCCATGAAATATCTTTGTGCCAGATTTTAGAGGCTAATTGGTTGAAGTAAGCTGAGGATTTCTCTAAAGCAGGCTCTCAATTTTCTATACCAGTGCTCTTCAGTCGAGTAGAGTATTGAAGCAACAACTGCATTTTTGCATTCTGAGACACAGAAATAAGGGATAAAATGGTTTTTCAGGTTTCTGTACAGTCGTACATTTGGCGCTCCATGAGGGTTCTACTCTGCCTGAACGCTTGTTAAGCATAAAATAGAAACAGGTAAAGTCATTTGTCTCTTTTTGTCCTGTTTTTTTTCTTCCAGGATATTCTTACACTTTATATCTAGCTAAAATTGCATGACCTTAGCCAGTAACCTTCTGCTGACAAAATAAATCGTCCGGTAGAAAATGCATAGCTTGTCGCTTAACAGCTGCGGTTTTTAAGAGTTTCTCACTGCGTGGTACCGCACGCACCCACGTTTCTTCCACCATTAGTCGGTAGTTATTAAACATACTTTGGCTGACCATGCCCTGAGGACTACAGGCCCTCAGGACTACTACTACTTAGTTACACTGAGCAAGAAAACAAGTACGGTAACAATGATAAACATTTATAAGGTTAAAATCTTGATATGAAAATTATCACTGATCTTGAGTCCATAGGTTGCCTTTGACAAGAATCAAACGCACGGTGCCGATCGCATTTAACCCTCTTGCTAACATCCATTAGTTTATCTATGGAGCATATATTTCGGGAATTTATATTTTTAGGAAAAAGTACTTTTCTGTTCACATAGTTAAAGAAGTTTTGCCGGATTTTCCCAAAACCTAAGGGATAAAGGCCACAAGACCAAATCAAAGAAAACCAACTTTCATTTGCTGGATCTTAAACTGGTCCAAAGCGACTTTAATCCAGCATTCAGGATAACTATGAGCTTATTCAATATGAAATGCATAAATTTAACAAAATATTATGATGTGTAACTGACTAACAGTTCACTTGAAATGAAAAATGGAAGTGTCCATCTGCTAATGAAGTAAGCCATCACGTTATATCCTCTCTGGTTGGATATCGCAAAAATATTTTTGCCACCTTAAGGCAATTTTTGATGCATGCTGACCTGTATTTTTCCTTCAATTAGCAGAAACACTCCGAAATTTTATACCCATTGGGAAAATCAGGGACTGTATTGTCATTAACATTATTTCTAACATTTTCACACATCAAAACTGCCCTTACCACTAGTTGTTATTAAATTAACCAGGTCTTTCCGCATTTAGTCTTTTTATATAACTCGACGATTTCTTGCATATTCGAACTGTATGAACCAAAATGGATGGTTTCAAGCCCTTTGCATGGTGCTCACTCAAGAGTATAGTTAGGAATGCCTTAATTAACTACAAATTCATAAATGCTTTGACGTCTTACCAGCGGCATTCAAACACACAAAGCGGACAAATTTTACTCTAAATTCATAATTTACCTGATTAATGTAGCACAAAAGAGCTGTCAAAGCTAACATCCTCAAACAAACAAAAGATACTTGGCCGTGCCATGATGTCTTGACATATGGGCTAAGCTAAGAGTAGCGGTGAGATTTTATCTGTAGGATCAAGCAGCCTTAGAAAACTGCATCTATGGTGTATTAGGACTCTCAAATGCTATTAGAATACCCCACTTTCCGGCGTTGAGTTCATGTCTACCGAGAGTTTTATGACAGGCAGGCGGTAAGATAGGATCAGTAACACCCTCAAGCTGAATGACCATGCTTCTGCATAATTTTCAGCACATAACAGCAGATATTCTGTAGCTGCGAGATTTATGAATGTTTTTGAAGAAGTGTTTGGCTATATTAAGTACCGTGCATCTCGCGATATTTAATTGAATACAAGTAGTGTCACTCAACGAGTATTCGGCTATAGAGCCTCATGACGAGCTTTACTGCCCTTTTTACTTTATTCCAGCTGTTTATAGCCTTCACTGAAGCAGAAGTCACAAGTCTCGGCTGCACATTCGACAAACAAACTCATTTAGCTACATATAAGCTTATTAAAGAATGCTGTGGCGAGCTGGCTCAGTGATCATAGCACTGATTTACTGACTCAATGGTTCGTGGTCCAAACCGGACATCTGTCAGTTAACTTCCCCTGTCTAGGCTACGGTGACCTGGAAGCATCCCAGCCTTCATTCTCACATCGGGCGGCTTGACAACTGAGCACTGAAATTGTGTTACAGCTGAACGATTTAAAGAAAGGCTACTGACATCGGCCCAAAGACGGGACATGGAAGGTCGGGGAGATTTCTAGCGGTCCTAGCGAACTGTGGGCATTGTGTCAAAGAGAGCTTAAGATAGGGATGATGAGATAGATTTTTTGTAAAACCTGAGTTTTCAAGCAGTAACTTTGAGAGTGAGGTCAACGGTAAAGGAGCACTTGGCATTTGTCACTAGTGCTTGTTCACGCGTCTTAAATGTAGAATCTACCGGTGGAGTATACGTTGGGACTTGTCACATGGGTGATACTAGAAATAAACAATTTCAGCTACATGGTGAGATCGATGGGAATTCATAGATCTAAACACACTTGAGTGTAGATGAGTGCGTCTATATTTGACTGCATTCTTCAGCAGTGTCTATTACAGGCTATAGAGTACACATGAACTACGACTTACACACTCTTCTGCCTATCCATCTTGGTTAGACTGTGGACTCCCTTGAAACCCAGCTGAATCCCTCGTTTATGATGTTCTTAAGAACAATGTGGTGAAATCATACGAGCGACGAAAACCAGAAATTTAGTTCAACGTTAGTCTCTCGGTAAAATTAAATTGTTACGCAAATGAAAGTAGAGGTGAAATTTCGAATGACTTGGGTTTAAGTAGAACACAGGGTTGAGGGAAACTCAAGGATTGTGCCAACCCGATGAGCCCAAAGAAGAGCGAAACCGGTCGTAAACTATCGAAGAGCTTTGAGAAACCTTATGCGTATTAAGTTAGAGTACTTTTTTCAGCAAGGACGACAGGGGACAAAACGCCTTCAAACTGAAAAAGATATGCCTGCGAAATTCCAACTACTTATTATATGAGAAACAGCATTGTTCCCAGGGTGTAGGAAAGTATAGCAAGTTAATCAGTGAAAACCACGATAACTGCAGCTACCGGAGTGGCAAAATACATTCCGCTTCACAAGTTACTAATGCATTTATCGGCCACTGCGCTACTTCCATTGTGGGTGTGAGTAATTTATTCAAAAAAATAGTCTGACTCACAGATCCAGAATTAAAACGACACTGTCATCGCGATAAAATACTTCATGCAGTTTCACGATGTTTTCGTGTTCAAGATTCGCCAATATATGTGCTTCTCTGTCAATATCAGCCACTTTTGTCCCTTGAGGGCTTTCACCATAAGTGGACGAGTTTGTAACCCTTTGCTTCATTATAAATTTGGCTGCAAAATGCTTCTTGGTTTTTCTACAAATACACCTATTCACATCAGCAAAATGGCCACTACGAATAGAAGTTTGTTAGTTGGTTGCTTGCTTTGAAATCGACATACTCTCCTATCTTTTCCCGAATATCATAAACTTCCTCCAGGCCATTTTGATTCACAACCGGCTTCTTAATTTCGTATAACTGGCAATAAATTTACCCTACCTGCTTCATTGCACTCATGTTTCACAAAGTTCGACAGTTCCATCTAGTAACGTGCACGATATCATATCATCGTTGGGTAAAACGAATATTCATCTTTCCGCCAACAGACTGTCCTTCAGTTCGACGCAAGGTTGTCAATGTGCAGGTCAAAATCAGTAAGATCAGGAGACGACCTGACCTATCACAGTTTTCTAGTAGGTCCAGCGAAGAAAAGCGCTTCATGACGATTCATGCCAACTCGAGTTTGCGGCGTGGTTGCGATTCCACTTTGTATCGCAGCTGGAACTCGGTGTGAACACGGGACAGAAGCCACCGCAAAAAAATAAACCAGACAAACCTCACAGATTCACTGTTGGATGCACAGGCTTCTATCTAGGGTTCGCTAGTCGGGTTTCAATGTCCCTCAGTAACTCCGTAAAAGGCTCAAAAGAAACGGGTGTAATACCCAATCGGGTTACGATGAACTCGTCCTTGAATATGGACATTTTGGCTATGCCACAAAAGGCGATGTTCCCTGGAGTGTTGGTACAACTGTTCATCGGCTCAGGAGAGCCTCACAGTGATACCACAGCACCTGAGTCAATACACGAAGCCCAAGGAAGCAAAAAGGGCAATTTAACCACGAAACATAGAAAAATGAAGGATCTGGGGGGTCCGAATTGGTTAGTATGCGTGCCCCGGCCACCAACCATCAAAGCGCTAGCCCGTGGTAGGGCACATTGTGTCCTCACTAACGAGAGGCCAGTGATGGCCGGACTGAAAGGAGTGGAGAGCGTTTCACAGTAGAACAAACTGCGTTGGAATCGCCAAGAATGGAAACAGACCAGTGCCCTTCACAGAACACTTCTGATCTTGGCAATCAAATACAGCGTGGAGTTACTAAATCTGATCACCCTATATGACGGCTGAACATCGCCCTTTACCTCGCCATCGGGTGTCACACAAATAATGATGATGCAGCTATTCACGTATTGCCTCCGATTTTTAACAAGCGTTCAGACACTCAACGTATCTTTTCATCGAACGATCGCCCGAAATCGCACTCGCAAAGACAGTCTTTAATTCCCGCCTGTGCTCCTGAGACGAAAGTACACGGTTGCTCCATCTGCGGGGATGGTTCGAAATGTTGGTGAAGTTTCTATATGGCCTTATCCATGGCCCTCCCACGCACTTTTACGATTCATTGCGTACGTGATCGACCCCCAAACTTTTGGCCCCGTTGACAGCTGCATAATAACTCCGCAGGAAAATGGATGGTCTATTATAATTCTGGAGAGGTTTGTTCTCAAATATCGCCTTAACCATTTTGCTATTATAAGGGATTTAACTCATCTGAGATCCCCTGAGTGAAGTTCCAGCACACACAATTTCAAGCTGATTGAATTTTTGTCTGTTAATCTTTCTGGTAAAGCATAGTAAGCTTCTTTATCTGTCACGGCGGGAATAAACGAAAGGATACCACGAGCCTATAAACCAAAAAATGGATCAAGGAAACTACCATTTCTTAGTATCTCCATCTAATCGCATCACGAAGAACCAACCCGAGAAGTGTTCTTCAGTCTTCGGATGATTCCGCGCAGTCTGTAATGGTACACGCGGGGACCAAAAGACATCCCATAGAACCTATCTCCTCTTGGATACGCCATACACAGGCGAGAAGGACGCAGTTTTCGTGTCAAAAGTTACGGCAATGGGTGCTCTGAGCATCAAGTCCGTCCATTGTAAAACACATCTGAATATCCTTAGAATCGATCCTTGGTTTATCGTTGCCCCCTATTGGACCATTTTAAAGACCAGGGAGCAGTTTTCGTATTTCGTTTAGCGAAAATCGTAACACGGAAAATGAAACACGGACCTTAATTCCATGTATTAATCCGGGAACCCATAAACAGGTGGGATAGCACACGTACATCCAGGCCTATTTTTTTGCAGGTGGGCACACGTGTGAGAAAATCTGTTAGACTAACAGAGGCCAGTATTGTTTCTGTCCATATTCGTGCAGATGTTTCACCCACAGCCCTAGGGCGTTAAAGGTGGCGAAATAAATTCCGTACAATCTTCAACAAACAGAAGCAAGTACAATAGAAACAAAAGCGGCGTATTGTGGCGTGATGTACGCCGTGAGCAAAAGTGGGCCTTGCTGGGATAGGAAGGCATAGTAAACAGAACTGTGCCAGGTAGATTTTGGAAGGTATCAAGAGTGTCGTCTAAGACTATAACCATCCACAAAGGAGAAGCTGCTGTGGGAAGACCTTGGTGGCATGTGGATTGCGAGCCGCCTGAGGGCAGTCTCCCTGGGACGCTCAAGTGTGCGCTCTATTTGAGAGTAAAGAATTTAGGTTGAGGTGGTTTGTGTGTTCGCATATAACATATATATGATCACGCATGGAATGCGAGTCATACTATAGACTCGCCCAAAACTTACAAAACTTGCAATGTTGATATTGGTGGGATAAACACGAGTGCCTCCTGACATGGGGCTTGGCATGACTTTCGGGCACTTATGTTTGCCAGGCATGGCAATGCAAGAGTGGGGCTACAGCAACTCAGCCCACCAAAACTGTTGACTTATACGTAAGTGTTTTGGCTGTTATCAGGGGCTGAAGCACTGCCCGAACGTCGCTTAGGACCATACTCAAGGGGACGCTTATTCGCGATACATGTCGTGGTACATCAAACATTTTTCTGATCCAAAGAAAGCACATCGGCAGTTCCAAACTTTGTGCTCTGGCAAACTGCAGTAGATGCCGGCAGGGGACACCGAATTCGACAAACTTTTTCACGGGTAGAGTTGCATGGGTGGTTGTCTGTTGCCGACGATCCATCATGACGGTTGCGTGCTCGTCGCTGCTCAAAACCGTAACCAGATGGGTTAAGCACAATTTCGACGCCATTTTGGAGGAGTCGCATGGCATCAGCCGACGGCATTATCTATCTAGTTCCGGATGGCTGACAATGCGGAGATTGCGAGGAGACGCGTCCGATTTGGTTTTCTGACGATTCCATATCAAGTACGTCGCGCTCATCCGTGAAACCCGTGTGGCCTCCTGCAAGCCTATTTGCCTGTTTAGTAGTCCCATTTTCAGGCATCGATGCGTTGTTTCGGCCTTGTTTGTATCGCGAATGCCATAGTGTTCAAAATGTGTTCAAAAGGATAAATGCGTTCCTGTATTTGAAAAGAGAGGTGCACTTGCTCAAATGAGTCCCAGGAAAGACAAATATCTCTATATATCTCTCTCTATGTGTGCATGGCGACCAAAAAACGCACAAAGGAGCGGGATCGCGGAAACCGCTTAAAAAGGTTCCCGAATGTCTGAACAAATCAAAATAAAACATTGGCAAACTAAAAGACATTACTCATTGCAAGCGCACCGTCAAACATGATTCACTTGATGTGAGAACCGCCACCAACAAGTTCGATCGGAGCTAGGAGGAAAGTTCTTACAACAGTTTACATCTCTCGCTACAGAAAACCGATGGCAACAGGGAAACTTTTTCGACAGGTACCAAAAATAGACCGTCGATAAACTAAATACTTACGTTGGTTGGTTGAAAAGGTTTAGTCAGTTAGTGAAAAAATAAGGAAGTCTTCTGCACAGTTGAAGCAACTCCAAGGCGGAATATACGATATGGATTACTTGGTTGCTTTCATCTCTCGAGCGGCGGAAATGTCCTTGTTTGTCGAACTGAGTCGCCAGTTCCGGAATATAACCTGCGAAAAGTGTGTATCCTTTGAACTCAAATGGGAATTACTTGGATTGCTCCGCCCAACTATATGCTGCGCCAGAATGTACGAATCTTTCAAGGCGGTAGTGGTGCTTGACGAACTTTTTCTCACCAGAGAAATTTGCTTTCGAGGTTCGCACGATGCAGTAGGTCCATAATATTTGTCGGAACTGCTTCAGGTAGATCATTAGTTTCAAAGAGCTGCACAACAGTCGGCTACTCTGGTTTCCCACGAACAGGGCGGAAACATCTATCGCGTATCCTTCAACGGAGAGGGTGACAGTTGCAACGACCGCTTGAAACGACTGTAGATAAGGAAGTAAAGACGGGCGCGCCTCACTGAGGTGTGCGAACTATTTTGTAGCAACTAGCAATTGTCTTCGACAAAATTTTACTATTGAATGCCTGCATTTTAGTTTGAATATAACGATGAGTAACATGCGTTAATTTTTACGCTTTATTGCATGTTTGTGAATTGCAAGGTGTGGGCACGAATGTGTACGAAGCGCACGTCGAAACTTTGTGCGGTGTTAGTGAACTCATTCCATGGCTTGTGCTTGGTTTCAAAGATACTCAGGACCTGTTGCAAGCAACGGTGTGAGCGCATATGGTTTGAAGATCTTCCAGCGTTCGCCTTGTCCGGGTTGGACAACAATGGAGGGAGTCGGCACCCTTGCAGCAAACGATTTACTTTGGGACAATTTAAAAGGTTTACGCAGTGAATTTAAGACGATAATTGTACTCACAAGCCCCTGATGTATCACGTTTTGTGTCCTGACATAAAGGAGTTGGTTGGGTTTTAGTGCCACAGTAGTCCTCTGTGCTGTACTAGCTCCATATCAGTTCCACAGGGCCCAACCATGTCACAAAGGTCAATGGGGCGACGAATAAGAGCGAGACTCCGAGTTCCAAGAAATTGCATCACAAGGCGGGTTGGATGTCATAACACGCTGTACTGCGTGACAGTAGGGCGCACGCAATTATATTATATTGACGTGTAAACTACCTCGATAACTGTAGATTTGCGTCTGTGAAAACCTTCTATCAAGCTGAATGCCTTTCCACATATCATTACGGGTAAAACTAGGAGTTGATGACCGCAAACAGTTGTTCGTAAGGCACAACATTTGGCCAATATCCGAATTCATGATGGCGATTTGAGTACACTAACT